TTGTGCAGAACGTTTTGTCGACATTATGGGTTTTTTGGGGGGAGAAAACTTGAGAAAACACAGCACAGCACTTCAGAGTCACACTGCTAGCGATCTACAGGAGTACTGTACAGGAGACAAGGCATGGAGGAGATTGATTGACAACTGACCACAGCCAATCAGGACGCAGAACGCAATGCGCTGTTAAAAAAGCTTGCCAAATTGTACAGAAATAAAAAATAAAAAAATCTGCAAGACCACAAAAGGTGACTGAACTGTGTTATGGTGAGGGACCACTGTGCAGCTTTTTGCATGTCCCATCTAAACAAATGTATGAAAGAACATAGACTGTCACACATTCTCCAGGAGATTCTCCATTTGCAAACTTATTTAGATTTCTGTGACATTTTTTTAAAAATACAATACTTCAAATTGGGTGTTTACAATAAAAAAAAATTCCTTTGGATACCTCAATAATACACTTATTTAGCCTAAAAAGAGGAATGTTGGATACTTCATATACTCAACTGTAACAGCTTTAATTATATAGCAGAGACAGTGGGGCTTTTAGACTCTACTTCTCAATGACAAACTCATCTTAAAAAGCCCTAATAAAGTGCGTACACAGTTGAGTATAGCACATAGTCAGTGTATAATGTGTCATTAAAGAAGAAACTTGGTTGTCAACCAGCCAACCATGATAAATATAGCTAGATGCTGATCAAAGGTGAAATTAGATGCAATATTAGTTAGTTAATGACATTTACTTAATAACAAATGAGTAAATTAACCTATAGAATGTCATCATGGACACTTATGCATCTCAATGCGTTTTCTACTTTTCATGTTAAAATATATTCTTTACAAATCCTACAGTTCTGAGTTATCTCTGTACAGCTATGATCAGCTGAGCTTTTAATGCAATAGGTGAATTCGATTGGTTGGTTCTTGTTATGTGACAAGCAGCATGTTAGCAGCATTCGTAAAAGCTAAGAACGTGAAATGTTTTAATCTCACTGTGACGTAGATATGTCTGAAAATGTAATGAGTATGTCACAACACATGATATTAAGATATCACAAGGTGATATCATCACTTCCTGTAAGTGCACTTGTCACACTTCTACGGTATATTAACAATAACAAACATAAGCATGCAAATGGCACAACATAAGTAGTTTCCTAAATCTGTATTTTGGCTTCTGGAAATGAATAATGGTGGTCTTTAATAGTGTAAGATGCTGTTTGATTGTATTTTTTGTCATATTTTGCAGCTATGAGCTGTCACTTGCAACAGAACTCTGCATTCTACAGATGAATATCATACAGGTTTGAAACAGCATGGATGTAAGTTTAATTTATGGGGAACTACCCTTTTATATTTTGACCAATCTTACTCTAGTATGATGGCAATGACAACAAGACACATTTTAAACTCACAAAAATATTAATGAGTTTACAAGGACCTTCCCATTATAATTATGTAGAGCAAGCATGGCATCTTAGTGGGCCAACATTCCCCGTGGGATACATAAATGTATCAGGCTAGCAAAGCTCACCTACTTTTAACAAAACAGTTTACATGCAGATACAAATAACTCCAAGCATCCTTCATTACTATCGTCCGACGAATGGCTATGCCATCTGCAGCTTAATGACTCAAATAACTTCTTCAACCCAGCGCTGACAGTTATTGTTGAAAGCACTGCCCATAACCTTTACAAAGGACACAATTTCAGGACATTCCCACATTACTTTCTTTATAACCAAACACTAAAAGTCTCTTCTGAGGAATTTGCTAGGAGTCAGAGCCACATTAACCAAGTGAAATATTTCTCTGCTGAATTACAGCTATGAAAACCATGGCCAATCACTGGCACACAGGAGTGTGAAGACCGGAACGTCACCATAACCATGTTTGACAACTCCTGACTCTCAACTTATTGAACAAGCTGAACCTCAAATCCACAGAACTTGTGAGCTGTCTGGTGAGCAGCAGATAAGCATGTAAGAGAGACAGCAGATCTGTCTGTACCCAACCTGTCTGCTGCTCTGGAAGAGTAATTACAGGAAGGCCTGTGGTAATTAGCCCACCTCTCACTGTGTTTGTCTGTTTTTAAGGCTGACAAAAAGAAAGAGGAAAAAAAAAAACCTGGAAGCTGACAAAGCCGCAGCCCAGGTTTACCATATGGGAGCGGATGGATAGTGTCAAACAGCATGTTGGGTTACGTGGAACTGAGTCAAACGCGTAAGCTTAGCTACAGGGATCTCAAATATGAAGACGCCCCTCCTGATACCACCAGTCTAACAGACAAGACAGCCACAATCTGCATCCCTCGCCGTTTGTTGTCAAGCTTGTTTTAAGCAGATCTCTCTAGGCAGAGCTCAATGATGAGGATAAGGGCCAGAGTGGGAGAGTTTGGGGCCAGTTGACAAAACTGTCATTTGCCAGTGCTTATGTTCCAACAAATTTAGATTTGTGAATCGTGTACAAGGTTTTTTAAGTGTTTTATGCCAGCAAAAAAATTAACATTTAGAATAAAAAAAAATAAAAAAAAAACAGTACAAACGTCCAAATATTACTGAGTGTGTTCAAGACATGTCAGACAGATTGTCTCTATGAGTTGAACGCACAAAATCACGGATTGAGTGTCGATGAGAAAACATGTCAGACACAGTGGGTAAAGTCTCTGTGACAGTATCAATTGAATCAATTAAGTTAGTCATTTAAAGTAAAACCCAAGTCGCATCTACAAAATAAAACACTATTGTAGGGCTGGATGATTTGGCCTAAAATCTTAATTGATTGAACATTTTAACTTGATATCAATTAATGAACAATTATTTTATTTATTTATTTTTTTTTGGCCCTGATAGTTCACTGACAAGTAGTACAGTACACAGTACACTGTACAGTAAATATGCTCAGCTATTACAAGTGAGAGATTTTGAATGAAGGGTGCATTACTTGTTTTTTTTTAAATAAATGAAGGAAACGCTCTCTATGATTATTTATTGAAGATCAACATTGAACAACTGTAATTAAAACACACATTGCCTAAAACCAATAGTCGCTTTTTTCTTATAAAAAGAAAATAAATAACTTGCACCACGCCATCCACGCTCATCACCGCAAGCAAACCGACCAATCACAGAGTTTGCATTACATGGCTCGCACACATTTTTTGAGAGGCGTGCGGGTATGTGACCGCACGAAGGCTGCGCCGGACCATACACATGTGCTCGACGCAGAAGTATAAATCAGTTGTAGCAAAACAAGGTGTTGTGACTCATCATGTAGTAGGTAAAGTCAACAAAAAGATTAACCTGGAAAATTTTGATCGATTATAGGTTGCAAATGTTGATTTCGATTACTTTCCAATTAATCGCTCAGATCTACACTATTGTGCAGTTATGATATCACAATGCACTGCAGTTCTGCAAACTGAATGATATATATAGAAAAGCATTAATGCACACTGTTTATTCATAATTTTGTAGCTGTAGAGTGAACAAATCCCGCACATTATCAAAACTTGCTCAAGGATTTTGTTAAATGTAACATTTCAGTCTCCTGACCTTAATGCAAACCAGGGGTCACCAACATGGTGCCCGTGGACACCAGTTAGCCCGCCAGGTTCACGAGTTGCCTGAGGGCCTGTTCTAAAAAAAGCTCACCATAGTACCACATATGAGTAAGCTGCATCTAATATTTTTATAGGTATTCTTTTTAAATCACACTTGCATTGGTGTAAATTTGAAAATTACTTTAAGTTATATATATTAAAAAAAAAACTTTAAAAACAATTTCAGACAAATGAAGTGTTGCATATTGATATTTATCTAACTTGTTAAATCATTGTTGACAACAACTTTGAGAAATCATTAACATGATCAATGTCTTCACATAGATGAATATTATTAATGATTAATAATAACATATAATTAAAAGTAAATTAAGGAAAATGTGTTTTTTAATAACTGGTAGCTCTTCACGCTTATCGGTACCCAAGAAGTAGCTCTCAGTTTCCAAAAGGTTGGTGACCCCTGATGCAAACCAAGGGGCATCAAGATGGCGCAGTGGGTAGCAAAATCATAACAGCAAGAAGGTCGCTGGTTCGAGCCCCAGCTAGGTCAGTTGGCATGTTTGCGTGGAGTTTGCATGTTCTCACTGCCTTGATGTGGGTTTCCTCCAGGCGCTTCAGTTTCCCCCACAGTCCAAAGACATGCGGGACAGGTGAATTAAATAAGTTAAATTGGCCGTAGTGTATGTGTGTGAATGCAAGAGTGTATGGGTGTTTCCAAGCGTTGGGTTGCGGCTGCGTAATACATAAGCTAGATAAGTTGGCGAGTCATTCAGCTTTGGCAACCCAAGATTAATAAATGGACTAAAGGCCAGCTCACACTGTGAGATTTCAGCCACAATTTTGTCACCGGAGACAAATTTGGGAAACCCTAAATGATTCCTGAAATCTTAAGCTAAAATCTGTAATGTTTGATTGTTGGATTGACATGTTAACAGACAGCCGCTTAATGCCTGCTGCAATCAGATTTTTTCTCTGATGAAGTTCTGGAAGTGTCAGACGATTTCAGACACTTTCCTGCAGTGTGACAACAGCTGCAATGAACATCAACATAAGAACCAATAGGAGCTCTGAATTTGATGACGCAATCCATGGGAAAATTCAAATAACTGCGGGGAAATGTCAAAACATTGTTGTCAATACAGATTGTTTACGTTTGCTGTGAGGAATCATTTCAGAACATGGGATAGTGAAAGTGTCACATGTGGATGACGTTAAACTCCAAGGCATTCTCTTTTATGTTTAGCGCGTCTTCATTGTCGTTCAGTCTGACTTTATGACAGCTGAGATCTTTGAGTGTGACATGGGAGCCCGTGTTCGTCCAGTCTGACATGCTACAATCATTCATGGTTATAAAAAAATTTAAATATTACACAATGTGAGCGAGCCTTTAAAAAAATGAACCATTGAATGAATAATGCAAACCAGTCACTATTCGTAACATAACAAGCAATCATGACACCCTTTATTCAGAATCATTAAAAAAGAAGGGAAAAAAAACTGTAAAGTCACAATCCAAAACATTTTGCATCTTAAGGAAACAATTGCCACATTAAATAAAATAATGTTCTATCATTTGATCCCACAGATGCTAAAGTTTGTAGTCACATTCTAGAAAACTTCACATCTCAAAATTACAACATTACATTTAATAATGCTTCAGCATGTAAACCCAAAGATGTTAGAGTTTGTAAAGTAACAATCCAGAACTGTTAATAATCATTGGTTACAGTTTTCTTAAAAAAAATACTCTAACTTTTGATGTGCAAATATGTCTGATGAAGGTGACGAGACTGAAATGTTAGATTTAATAAATCTGTGAGCAGGTATTTGCTTTTCGCACCCTTTGACACCCTTTGCACCCTTTTTTATTTTTTTCTTCTGTCATTTCTTCAGGTGTAGAGTAAAAAGAAAAAAACAATCACGTAGAATTTTATGTATAAAATGTACATCCCAATCTTGTTCCAACTCAAGGGACTTAAATGTACCTGATGTTTTTGTTTTTGATACAGCTAAAATATTAAGCCATGTAAGATATAATCACTGCACATTATCTGACAAGAAATCAAATATTTTCTTGGGAAAAAAAAAAAAAACAGGCTGTCTCTTAAACCAGTTTGCACACAATCGAAAACAATCCTTATTGTTGAGCCATGCTATGAAAGATGTTTCTTCTTTTGTCGTCATGTCATAAAAGCTGTCGAAATAAACAAGAAATCTTTGATGGCTAGTTTGCGAGTAACTCTTTATAAAGAGCTCGTGGACAGTTAGATAAAGAAGAGCGGCCCATCACCATCGCGAGAGGTGTCTGCTGAACCCTTAAACGTACTGACTCAGAGGAAGATAATAATAAACTCAACACGGCTTATTTCCAACAACAAAAGAACTCCTCCGTCGAAATGAAAGACTATGACAAATGGTTGTTCTAATGTTTCCTGTGTGGGTGTGCCGTATGTGAATGCGTCTGTGTGTGTGTGTCCCTGTTGGCTAAGCAGCAGGGTGAAAACTCCCCCTGTCTCCTCACCATCTGCCCAAGAGAGAGCTCCTCCAGCAACCCTTCCACAATCAGCACTTTTCCAGGCTGAAGCCAAGAGAACCAGACATCCAGCTAACTCTGCAGGTCCGAGTCATTGCTCACCTGCGTCAACGAGAACACAAGTCTCACTGATGAGCGGTAAATCAAAGGAAATAAAAGTTCAGAAAAGTAGACCAAACTATTCAAGACTTAGGAAAGTTAGAAAGGTCTCAGGTGCGGGAAAGGGGGTGTAATCAAATGAAATGAATGCAATTACATGAAATGATGATATAATACATACATTAATAATAAACAATTCAAATATTTTAGATTTTATTTCTAGGCTGAATATTTTAAATATTGTGTAAAAACAAGCAAGCTCCACTTGTATCATACACTTTTTTCCCAACATAAACTTTCTTTTAAAAAAATAAATAAATGAACAAATGTTTTAAAAACTATAAAAACTAAATCTATGGACAACAATCTGTCCAGGTCAGTGTCCTCAGCAGTAAATACTTGGAAAACTTTTAAACAAATTTTATTATAAAGAAAATAGTTAAACTATTATAATAAATTAGAGTTAAAAATGACCTTTTTTAAATAAAAAGTTTAAAGTTTTATTAAGATGGATTGTTCGTGATTGTATGGGTTTTGGTTAGATTGGGTAGCAATACATGAACAAAGAAAGATTAAGACATGTTTAAAAAAAGATTTAAGACCTACAACACAGTATTTCAGTAAATGTAATACTTTAAAGCCAAAACTTTGGATTTTGTGATTTAAGACATTTTAAGACCCCACAGAAACCCTGGTTAGGATGATTAGGCAACTCATTGTATAACGATGGTTTGTTCTGTAAACATGTAGTAAAATAAAAATAAAAAAAATTGCTAAAAGGGGGCTAATAATGATAAACTTAAAATGTTTTATTATTATTATTATTATTATTAATTAGGAACTGAATTTATTCCAACTGATATAAAAAATAAAAAATAAACTTTTTCCAAAACAATATTATATAAAATACAGTAAAAAAAATTATTGCTCTGTTAATCATCATTTAGACTTTTTTTCATCATTTAGATTTTTTTTACTTCAACTGAATAATATATATATATATATATATATATATATATATATATATATATATATATATATATATATATATATATATATATATGTATGCATATATATAATAAAAAAAAATTACAATGTATTCCTTACATTTTAGGATTAAGTAATAATTGTGGAAATCTAAAAATGTAGATTGTTGGTTGGGTTTAGGGGTAGGGGAAAGACTATACAGTCTGTGCAGTATATAAACATCTTTACATCTATGTGAGGTTCCCATAAATATCTGTACAAGTGTGTGTTTGTAAGCACACGTGCATGTTTTGAGTAAAATTATAATAAATAGACGAAAAAATAAAACCAGAATACACCCATAAAGAAAATACCAAAATAAGCTTGTTTTTTTAGCTAAAATCTTAAAGTCAGGCCTAATTAACTTGCTATTCATCTGATAAATGCAAATACTTTTGCAGGTCAACTGAACCTTTACTTTAATTAATGTTCAAAAAAAGTGCAATCTAAAATGTATATAATTATATGGCACACTTCAAAATCCAAAATGGTATCCTAGTACTCAAACATACTGTATACTGTCAACCAGAAATCAATCTGGCGATATAAAGCCTTGCAAAAGCAAACATTTCTCCTAATTTTATAAATGCTTTCTCCTAATGCTTCTTCTCATCATCGGTCGTTCTTGCACAAGTTTAGAATCAAAATCCCCCCTTTGCCCTTCACACACACAAGCATGGTCAAACTCTCATTGCGCCAAGCAAGACTAATATAAGCCATTTGGGTGTTTGGAAAGGCTTACCCTTTTCAGAGCTCAAAGCTCCATTAGATAAAGAGGAGCAGGGCAGGCTAATTAGAGTCTGACCGTTTGGCCATTCTAGAGCAAAGATTCATTTGCACTGGTTTTACAATCGGTCTCTCTCTCTTTTTCTCTCTCCACCTAATAGAAAAATAAGCTACTTCACTCTGCATCGCTGCCAGTGACACCTGCGATGGAGGGGGTAATGGTGTTTAATGGCCTTTTAAATTTTTATTCAGTCTGAGAATCATAAAAGAGGAACCAGGCAGCCACTGGATCTCTTAATAATCCCAATGCTATGGCAACCAAAAGCAAGCTCAGCCGCCGGACTCTAGGTGGCTCGCCAATCGCTTCTTGTCTCGGGAGAAATGTAGAGATATCTAGAATGAGGTGCATTTACAAATTCTGCAAAGTCACCAGTGGCGTTTTGGTGATCCTAATAATAGACGTTTTAAACTTTAAAGGGTCCATTTCATGCAAATCTGACTTTTTTCAGTGTTTAAGTGCTATAAACGTGTACAACCAACTAAGTATTAGGGAAAAAATGCTCTGGCATTGGATATATCAATGAACAGAATCTCCTTAGACTCATGACATTTAAGCCACTGAGGACATTATGATAATAAAAATGAGAATAATATTTAAAAAAAAAAATTGTTTGCAACATCAAGCAGCATAACGAGCTGTTTTTAACATCTACATATCAATGTAAATGAGATCAGAAATATCAACTAAAAACATTTCAATGGCTGCACCCGCTCATACGTCAAGAATAAGGTCAATATATTTGGGAAAATGTATGGTATGCTGCATTACTTCACCATAGGGATCAGATTTTAAAATATGGGTCAAAACCATCACTTTGCTTTAACTTCTTATTCTAAAAAAAAAAAAAAAAACACGGTATATTTTGAAACAGTTTACAATATTTAACTGTCTCTTGACATGCTGAATATCTATATGACTACTGTATGAGTGTCATAAAAGCATGTAAGGGCTCCATCCTTTTTTCTGCCAAGCAGTAGTTTGTTTAAATTTAAAGGGACATGCACTAAAAAGTGCGGTGTATTTTCCTCACACTCAAATTTCATTTCATCACAATACATTGACATCAGTTTTTTTTTTTTCCATAAGGAACCATTGTCTGCTTTGCCTAAATGGTTAAAAAAAACAACAAAAATAAGGCAGAGGGAAAAAGGAAAGGACATTGAGGGAGGAAAATTGAAGAAGAGTTTTTATGTTTTGGAAGGCTGCAACTGTGTATACACTCCCTAACGGGAGACACAAATCCAGATCAGATATGAGAGTTGTGGCTTTTACACATCTGAGACCTGCTGTATCACCAGACCCTATCTTTTATTTATTTACAGCAGTGCTTAGAAAGAAAGACGGGGAAAGAGAGAGAGGGGGAGAGAAAGTGATAGAGAGAGAGAGAGAGAGAGAGAGAGAGAGAGGGAGGAAGAGAAATTCTCACACGTCAAAGAATTTGACAAAATACAGTTATCCTAAACGTAATTGTATGCAAATAACGAACACTACACACAATACACACCTGAGAGGATTAGATGCAGATTTTTGTCCTTGTTTGTCTATTACAACATTGCTCCACACACAATGGGTACTTTTACTTCCACAGCAGGTTTCACAAGGTGTTTTTTCTCCAATTCTACAAGACAAAATTAGGTATATGAACTTAATAGTATCAAATAATTTACTTCAATAAAATTATCATGTTATAAAAAAATAAGCTAAATAATGCACTACTTTTTTTTAAATCTATGGTTAATCAAATCATTATAATGTATACATTTGGGAAATTTAGTATAGTTATTTCTATGACTATGATGATGATCAGCGCTCTTCATGGGTTTGAAATATACTTTCCGTGGTAGCCGGATTAAAACTATTTACCCACATCACATAAATAGTTAACTATATGCGACAAACAAAAAATTATTTAATTTTAACAATAATTTTGTTTATTATGACACTGTTATGCACTGTTTTGTTTCAATGGGTTAAAAGACTGTTGAAATATAAAAAAGAAATCCACTATCTCTCTTTTATGCTATTCCGGAGCCATGTGAACCCACTGACAGGTAAAATCTGCTCTTGTGGGTCCGCAGAGCATGTGAGATTGTATGTAATATACTTTCCGTGGTAGCCGGATTGAAACACACTATTTATCCACATCACATAAATAGTTAACTATATGCGACAAACAAAACATGATTTAATTTTAACAATAATTTTGTTTATTATGACACTGTTGTGCACTGTTTTGTTTCAATGGGTTAAAAGACTGTTGAAATATAAAAAATAAATCCACTATCTCTCTTTTATGCTATTCAGGAGCCATGTGAACCCACTGACCGGTAAAATCTGCTCCTGTGGGTCTGCAGAGCATGTGAGATTGTATGTAAGAGTGTTGACAGTTAACGCGCGCAAAACAAGAACGAAACAAGTAAATAAGAGAGGATTTTCCACTGCTTAATCGATCATGAATGTATGGTTATATTAGACGGACACAAAATAGTGTAAAAGGATGATAATAATACCAAATAAAATCATGTCACTAAAAATACTTGGGCGGTCGTTTGTATATCTAAACGGCCCGCAAAACTAAAGTCTATGTGTGGGAAATACTGATAATGATGATGATCATGATTATTATTATTGCTATGTAGTATTTGTTAACTGCAATAAGGTGTTCCTAAAGGAAAGAAATACAAGTAACTGTAAAATAAACTGACAAATAACTTTTTGAAATATCACATATCGGCAATTATATAGTTCATAGCTCATTATATTATTTGTGATTTGTCAACTATTGATGGGTTTCAAATGCTAAGTGATAGTTTTCACATTTTCACATTATAAGCAAAAAATATATAAAAAAAATAAAAAAAAAAAAAAACAGAAAACTGTTGGGCTATAAGGTATAGCATTACTAACTGACAAGGAAATCCACCTGAGCTATGCTTCTACAGAATTCCCCCACAGAAAGAACAGCCAGAATAGAGAAATGTATGTGTCAAAATGTAGCCTCATTGACCTATGGTACCTGTAACCCTCAGGACGTTTGTTTGTTTTTTTATTTATTTATTATTATTTTTTTATACAGTTTCTATTCTAATTAGCAGTTAAGCGCAAATAAAGCATACATAATTCAAAGTATGAAAAGCAGAAGTGAATGAATAGATATTAACAAACAAATATTAATCTAAGCAAAAATTAACAGACACCAAATAAAAAAGTATACACACATGCCACAGAGACATTACCAATGACTAAATTGCCGAGGAATACCCACAAAACAGATGTTAACATCGGTGTATTGGAGCTCTGACAGGGACATGGTTTTTAAATGACTGTGGGTTCAGTATATGGATTGCAAGTGCTCACTATTTATGGGTTTCTTCTCTTCGTATATGATCCAAGTATTTATTGCTTAAAAAAACTAAATATGACCAGCGTGTGCGCCATTTGTATTGAGATCCCAATGTAGCTGCCATTACGAGTCATTGTTTTTTGTTTCAGTTTCAGTTTCCTTTATTTTTGTCATACAAAACATCACAATAAATAGTAATGCAGAACAAAATTATGTTAAATCAGACTCAACAAGAACATAAAAACATCAAACACTATAAAAACCTAACATAATAAATAAGCTTTCATACTATCAACTTTCCAGTATATAATATTAATTTTAAAAGGAGTTAGCATGTGCACCACGTTTCTAAAAGTCCTCTCTTGCTAAAAGGTTGATTTTTTTTTATTATGATTACATGAAAAAAGACAAAGTTGACGGAGCAAACTGAATTTCTGAAAGCATCAGCAGTCTTAATCAGTCTTGAAGACGCAGTCCAGGTCCAGCAGTCAATCTCATGACTGGTCTCCTGTCCAGCATCACTGCTTCGTCGTTTAAATGTCAGCGATAGACATCAAACCCGGTTCTTTCCCAAAACTCCATCTGCTTCATACAGATGTCTCAATCAAGCCAGCATCTGCGTGGTGTCCAGGGCTACACTTATACACGCTTCTGTTTAGACATAGGAAGTGTACCTGCCATGCGCCACATGCTACCTGACCTGCCCGTCTGCTGCCTGTCATTCAGCCCTCACACAGACCCCAAAAACACAGCAACACTCCCTTACACACACACAGCAAACTGATCCTTCAACACTCATGATGCCTTCTGTCTGAAAAAAATAAAAAATAAATAAAACTGCTTCAGTTGTTTAGAGAAAAAGCCAGAGGCAAAGACTTTTTAGTGTTATCAATTAAACACATGTACCATCAGAGACAAAATAATGGTTTGTTGTGACATATTGCAGATGGTGTTGTGCTATGTGCTTATCACGAAAACAGGTGAGCGTGGCTTCCATGGTTTAAGTTATGCTTAAACAAGAATCTTTGTCACAGCAGCTGTAAAATTTGCTGACATTATGAACTAGAAATACTTTTGAACAGATTTATTTTTTTCTTTTGATTTTGCCCTGTCACTTTGTGCATAGAATAAATGTCATTTTGTTCAAAATAAATACGATGCTCAAACATTTAGTAATCAAAAAAAAAAAAAAAAAAAAAAAAAGTTAAAAAAAAACAAATTCCTAATACTAATTTTTAACATTTTTTATTTTGACAATGTTTTTTGTAAAAAATCTTGTCAGGAAATTCCTAATCCTATATATATATATTAAATTCATTAAATTATCTAAAAACCACTAGAGCAGTGCTATATTATTTGCGGACTTTTCATAACTATCAAAACCACTTAATCTCATTGCACATGTATATAATGTACATTTTATACATATACAGTGATGATAATAGCCATTCTATTATATTCTAGAACATTATACAAAATGTTCTGAAGAATGTTCATATGCAGAAAAATCAGCTACTTTAACTGATGACCTGTGTTTCTATGCTAATGACATCATAAATCCTCGATTTCTGTTTTGCTTTCATAGTAAACGCGAACACCAAAGATGTTTCAATATGTTCTGCACTCTATTAGACTGCACAGAGTAGCATTATAACAGAAACATAAAATCTTTTTAGTATCTAGGGCATTATTTTTCATAATGTGATTATGAATTATTATTTAAGATTTGTGGATGTGTATATTGCTAATTTCTTTGTCAGTGCTGTATGCAGCCTTTATCTGCTGCAGTCCTTTTCAAGTCTGACTGGAGGGAGATATAGTAATATCTCAATGTGACTAGCTAAATATAATAATAATAATAATAATAATAATAATAATAATAATGTTTAATATGCACCACATGATCATAACCAGAAGCGGTCGAATGTGGCATAATAAAAGCTCCACTGGCTTTATGCTGTGTCATGCTCATCTCTCATCAGCAATTGCTTCAGTGCACTAATTTTGCTTCGAGAGCTTTCAGCCTTAATCTGCTTCATACTACCATGATAATAAGCCTTGATTACTTCAGACTTGATACTTCAATATTTGAATACCTTGAATAGCTCATTCATGAAGAAGATTTCTGAAGGTGTCCCATAGGATGAAATAAAGGCAACAGTTCCCATTATTCCACACTCAGACACGTATCGAACTACACCTTTGTTTGATATGAATTTACACCCCCTGGTGGTGAAAATAACATACTGTGCCTTTAAAGGTACAGTACAGATAAAAAAATTGTTATTAAAATAAAAAAATATATTTAATTTAAATTTAACATTAATTAAAGACAATTCATGGGCCTAAACAAATAATAATAATAATAATAATAATAATAATAATAATAATAATAATAATAATAATAATAATAATCCATAAAGTCTACATAAAAAATACAAGGTGAGCTACTTGTGAGCTACCTATATAAAACATAATTAACTGCTGGATATGCTGGATATTTAACCAAGTATATTTAAACAGTGTTTTATCAATAACACAAATGACCTTATTCTACTGTACATCCACATTGTACAATTTGCACGCAACTAACCTGCACATGCTTTGACAATACAAATGTACAACATTGTCAAGGCACACTAAAATTGAATTGAGCGAGAGAGAGACTCGACCTTCTGATGACACCATTCTTCAGTCTCTCAGGGCACGAATGGACACTGGCTCCTTGTACAGACACACATAACAGGGCCAAACAGATGCTATTTCAGCCCAGAGGACAATACAAACACACTGACAACATACAAATGACTTGCAATCATCTGACTGTGTGTACACTTGAAAAGCAGCATACAATGCTACATAAAACCCGAATATATTAAATACATAAATTATTCATTCATATTAAATATATCATCGTATGCTCTATTTGACAGTTTTTTTGAGCAGTCCAACATTATTAAGGTACAGAAATGTAAAAAACCACAATGCAAAAAAAAAAAAAAAAATGCTTTTAAATAAAATAAAATAAAATAAAATAAAATAAAATAAAATAAAATAAAATAAAATAAAATAAAAAATAAAATAAAATAAAATAAAACTCGATTCAATTCAAGTTTATTCATTTCATTCATTTTCTTTTCGGCTTAGTCCCTTTATTAATCAGTGGTTGCCACAGCAGATTGAACCCCCAACTTATCCAGCATATATTTTACGTAGTGGAAGCCCTTCCAGCTGCAACCCATCACTGGGAAAATCCAAGTTTATTATTTGCCATA